AATAAATGTGGTATATGTATATCATGGAGTTCTAATCAGCTGTTGGCAGATAAAGATATAAAAGATTTCAGGAGTTTTGCAAGGCTTTGCCTTGAAGGACTATGTGAACATGTTAGTTCACAGATCAAAAGCTCCCTATCCTCAGGAGGGCATCTCTCACCGATTAGGAGGGTTTGCATGGCGACGCCCATCTCAGAATTGAAGGCTTATGCTTCTGTAAGACAAGGCTTGGTATGGGGCCACAGGTTGAGAACTGATCAAAGATTGCCTGCCCCCCAGCTAGAGACAATTGGCCACAGGGACAGTTCCTGCTTCACTCCTGATCACTTGTCTCAATCAACAAAAAACTAGATAAAAAATATGTATCATCTACATTTCATTTTCACCTTTATGCTAATTGATAATTTTATCTTAGGACTTAGAAATTTATCATAGAAAAATTTTGTAATCATTTTCTCACATAGAGTTAATTAAGGGGTCTCTAGAAGCTTTTGGGGAGACTTAAAACCTAAACCAACTATCTGTTATTATGTAAATCTGTAACCACTGGCAACTAATCCTTGCACCAATAAATACTAATGCAGAACTTCACTCAGGGCCTCACAGCTCACAGGAATGCTGGAGGACTCCTGACTCCCCCATCTTTTTAAACTCTACTTTGTCTCTTGTCTCAGTTATTTCTCTATTCTCTATTATTTCCAAATTTCTTGCAATGATCCTGCCAGGGACCTGTTTTTATTGTGAGCATAGCTAACTCCTGGGCACTCAGCCACAAAATACAATGGTGATCTAGCACTTCCTGTATTATCCTGGATAGAGTTAGAGCCCATTCTACTAAGTGAAGTATCATAAGAATGGAAAAACATACACCACAGATCCTCACCATGAAATTGATATTAACTGATCAACACTTATGTGCACATATAGTAGTAACATTCATTGATTGTTGAGCAAGTGGGAGGGGGGAGGAGGAGATGGGTATATTCACATCTAATGGGTGCGGTGTGCACCATCTGGGGGATGGACACACTTGAAGCTCTGACTCGTGTTTGGCAAAGGCAATATATGTAAGCTAAATATTTGAACCCTTGTAATATATTGAAATTTTTAAAAAAGTATCAGGAAGATCAAAGTTTCTGGTTCCAGCCTTCATATTCCTTATCTAAAATATATAAAGTATAAAGAATTATTGAAAATATAGTATATGGAGTTTTCTGAGGGTGCATTTTAATACTGTGTTTTTTTTAAAAAATTGGGATAGTTTTTTTGGCATTTGTAGTTTATTCTTCATTATAAGTTTTAATGGTTTTAAGGATGGAAAACCAAAAAATGCAGATAATTAAAAACCTCTAATCAGCACAAGAGTTTTTGCCGGCTCCATTTCTGACCTGGGCCAGTCCACCCCTCCTTAGGCAACCTTAAGAATTCTGGAAGACAATGTTGGGAAGATTCTTTTAGACATTGGCCTAGGTAAAGAATTTATGAAGAAGACCCCCAAAGCAATCACAGCAGCAACAAAATAAACAAATGGAATCTGGTCAAATTAAAATGCTTCTGCACAGCCAAGGAAAGTATCATTACAGCAAATAGACAACCTACAGAATGGGAGAAAATATTTGCATACTACACATCTGATAAAGGGCTGATGACTAGAATCTATATAGAACTCAGGAAAACCAGCAAGAAAAAAATCAAACCACTCTATCAAAAAGTGGGAAAAAAAGACACTCTATAAAAAAAGACTTCTGTAGTAGAATGTTTATAGCAGCACAATTCACAACTGCAAAAATGTGGAAACAACCCAAATGCCCATCAACACATGAGTAGATTAATAAAATGTGCTATATGAATACCATGGAATACTACTCATCTCCAAAAAACAAAGGTTATCTGACACCTCTTATATTATCCTGGATAGAGTTGAGCCCATCCTTCCAAGTGAAATATCATAAGGATGGAAAAAAATGCACCACATGTACTCGCCATCAAACTGGTACTAACTAATCAATAGTAAGGTGCTCACATGGTAGCAATACTTACTGGGTGCTGGTCATATGTGGGATAGGGAAGTGGGGGTATGGGGGTGTGGGTACGTGGGGATTAGGGGGTATGGGTGGTAAACACACAGCAACGGAGTGCACTGTATTGGGGAAGGACATGCTTGTAGCCCTGGCTTGAGTGAGGCAAATGAATTTCCCGTAACGAAAATGTTTGTACCTCCATAATATATTGAGTTAAAAAAAAAAAGAGAAAACAAAACAAAACAAAACCAACAACCTCTGTTATTAGATTTGGGGAATCATTCTTGACATATCCCTTCTTCATATCAGAAGAATAGTATGAGGACAGGAAACGCAAAGTAAATGCTTGTCTTTTTCCATTTAGATGGAATAAGGTACTGCTCTCTACAACATCCATCTATATTTTTAAAATGTTGGACAGAGTCTGAGACTTGTTTAGAAACTATGTCTGTAATTTATATTGCTTTGTTCATTTTCTCAGCATCACTATCTTCTGGAAATAAATGCTTCTTCCTTGTAGAGCACCCAAATGTCCTTCGTCACAGGGATGGGCAAACAAGAGAGACAATGTCAACAAGAGAGAGGACAACCAGGTGGTATTTCAGGTCTTGGTTCCAACTTTTCTGAGACCAGACACATCCTTTGGTTTGGTGATGTGAGCCATTAACTTTTCCCTTTTTGTATAAGGTTAGACTTGAGTTTATGTTAACCTATAAAAAATTGCCAAAGAAAATACTCTTAATATGTCTATTCTTTTTAATTTCTAGCACATCTACCTTAGTTATTTTCATGGAAGATGTGCTGGGCATAGGTTTAGGACCACAGACTCAATGGGCAGTAAGCGGTGTAGACTCTTGAGAAGTTGGCATGGCTGCCCAGTGCACATACAAATCCATAAGCCTAGTGCAGTCTGGGGCATTATGGGTCCCCAACACAGTGGCAGGGCTGGAAACTGGACCAGGACTGGGTGCAGTTATGGTGGCAGTAGCAGCAGCAGAAGCACTGGTAGCTCTGGCAATGGCTGTGGAACAGGGAGAGAGGTAATGTGCCACATGGGGGAAGTGTGTGGACCCAGTATGGGAAGTTTACTTGCCCATCTGTTTCCAGAGCCTGTCGCTGCACCCTTAGCATAAATATTAAACTCTATTGTCTAAATTCTAGGACAGGAGCTGCCTGTACCCAAGCAGTAAACTTTGTGAGTAAATCATTGCCAAAATAAAAAAAAAGCACCTACAAGGACATTGTACTAACACACATCAGGAATTGTTAGAATTGTTCAAAGACTTTAGAATCTTTGGTTTTAAAAACTACTGCAACACCACAAAGCAAATATACATAGGCTTAGAAATAGAAATCAAATTTAGATACTGTTTCATTTCACAGAAAACAACACTATTTTTATATGAAGATGTGAATCCTAGTGATTACACTTCTCTGGTTCAACTATGAGTGATACAATGGTCTATGGGGGAAAATTCAAAAAGTATAGTGCTTCCAGAGGGGAGATACCAAGATAATGAAAGCTCTAGATCAGCGTTGACCAATAGTATAATTTAGAAAAAATTATTTTTATTTTTTAGAGATAAGAGTCTCACTGTTTTTAACCTAGGCTGGAGTGTAGTGGCTTGATCATAGCTCATTGCAGCATCAAACTCCTGGGCTCAAGTGTTTCTCCCTTCTCAGCCTCCTGAGGAGCTGGGACTACAATTGTGCCACCATGCTTGGCTGGGTTTTAGTATTATTATCATTCTTACTATTATTTTGTAGAGATGGGGTTTCACCATGTTGTCCAGGCTGGTCTTGAACTCCTGGCTTCGTGTGATCCTCAAGCCTGACCCTCCCAAAGTGCTGAGATTACAAGCATGAGCCAATGTGTCCAGCATATATATACTCACTGTGCTTCCACAAAATGGAACGAGAAACTAATGAATAAGTGGTTACACAGGGACAAGTTTTGGACTTTATATAAAGAACTTTGTAACAACTAGTATATCTAAGATGCGATGGATGACTAGATTAGATGCCCTTCAAGGTCCCTTTCCTATGCTGCACATCTATATTGTATGATCTAAATGTTGGCTGTGCTATGGAGAAAATTCATTTCCAGTTAGATAGCAATGCAATAATAAGGTCATTTAGGATACCCAGAATAGATGGCTTTGTCTATTTTTCTATTAAATTCTGGATAAAATATACTCTGTCAATCTCTGAGATTAATAGTTCTATTTTCTACTTACTATTTTTGAGAAAATTCCATTACAAAAGTAATTTGTGAGAAAAAAAAGAAAACTTTTCAAGACCTTTTTCTTAAGGCTATCAACATATACATTCTATAAGTTCTTCACTTCCCATCCTTGATAGATTTCTAAGATTTTTATCTCTAAAACATTGACAAGTAAACATTAAGAATGATGTTATGCCTAGGTTAGATAATGGCTATTTACTTCCAGTAAGAGCATAATCTGACTAGATGGATGAATTTTCCGTAATCAATTTTGTGTTTGTGTTTGTGCAGTCATATCTTTTCTGTAACACTCAACTTCGGAAAGAATTATAAAGTTAAAATAATTATGTATTTATTTAACAATTCAAAAGCATTGGTAAATAAAATGATTCAACAACAAATATTCACATTGCACATTGTGCTCCAAGCAATATGCAGACATTTTGGTTATAGTGGGGGACATGGCATGCTCTTTGCACTCATAGGGTTTATAATCAAATACACCAAATAGACAAGTAAACTATCAATAATAGCTTGGAAATCACACCCCTACCTCCCTTTCAGTTCCCCCTTCCCACCCTCACCCCCTCACTTCCACCCCCAGCCACTCCCACCTTCCATCTTGGGAGTCTGAGGAACACAAAGTCTGAATACACCACATCCAGGAACTCTTGTCTGGCGTCACCCAGGGCCCACAACAGGGGCATCGTGGGGGAGAGGCCTCCCTCTAACTGCGGTTAGAAGTTCCCTCACTCCTAGTGTCCCCTCTATCTATGGTTAGAGGGGCCCTCACTACTGCCTCCAGTTCCTCACATTCTACAGCTAGGACTGAGGAATTTTTCCCACCCCACAAAGGGGAAGGCCCTCTATCCCAACATCCCCCCTCCTCCTCCTCCACCCTTCCTACTTCTTCACCTCCACTCCCTGTCTCCTGCCGCCTTACTGCAGTCATCCATGGGAGACGCCAAACAGGGTCCCTGGATGTGGTGTATTTTGATTTCCATCTTGACAGTTTGAGGGAAGTATACCTTCATCTGACGGGGGGGCAAGTTAAGTCTTCAGAGGGAAGACTCTGTAACCTTGCCAGACATCAATGTGAGGAACTTGAGGGAGGAGTGAGGGGACCTCTCCTTGCAGATAAAGGGGACACTAGTCCCGCTCTGCCCTTGCTGTCACCCTGGGAAACCCCTAGGCAAAGTCCCCGGATGTACTCTTTACCGTCTTCCATTTTGGCATTCTGAGGGGTGTGGTTTCAGATCAGCAGAGGGAGGAGTCCTAGATCTGGCCAATCATGGAGGGGAGAACCCTGAGGGAGGCTTAGGGGCACCTCCCACCACATATATAGGAGGCTCCAGGTCCGCCCTGCCCTGGCAGTTATCTCTGGGAGGCGCCAGTACTGTTTCCTGTCTTCCATTTCAGGACTCTGAAAGAGGTGAGGCTGTGTCGGAGGTGTGCAGGGTCAGCTTGGTATAGAGGAGTTCCAGGCCCAACCAGAATTTAAGATGAGAACCCTGAGGGACAGTGGATCTCTCCCCACAGAGTGGGCTGGGGTAGAAGCCCGGCTATGCCCCTGGGATGCCCCAGTCAGGGGTGGTAGGATGTGTTTCATGACTTCCATTTTGGTAGTTTGAGGAGGGTAAGGCTTCCTTTTAAGCGGATCAACACAGGTTAGCAGAGGAAGGACTTCCAGGCTCTGCCCAGTATCAAAGTTAGAACCTGGAAGGAGACCTCCCACTGCAAATAGAGGGGCCCCCACTCCTGTCTTATACTTGTTGTCAGCCCCAAGAAGCCCAAGACAGAGTTTCTGGATGTGATCTATATGGGCTTCTATCTGGGGGGGGGGATGGGTGAGACTTTTTCTGAGAGGGCTCTGCTCAGGTCGGCAGAGGGAGGAGTCCCAGGCCCTTCCAGGTATTAAGTTGAAGTCCCTGAGGGAGGAGTGATGGGTCTTCCAATCCCAAGTAGGGGGAAGCCTCAGCCTTTAAGCGGCCCCTGCTGTCCTGTCGGCCATTAGTGACCCCAGACAAGGTTCCCGGATGTAGTGTATCTGGACTTCCATCATGAGATGGGGTGGCGGCGGGCGAGACGTTTTCTGAGAGGGCTTTGCTCAAGTTGGCAGAGAGAGGAGTCTCAGGCCCTGCCGGGTATTAAGCTGAAGTCCCTGAGGGAGGAGTGAGGGGACTTCCAACCCCAAGTAGAGGAGGGCCTCAGCCCACACGCAACTCCTGCTGTAGTCCCTTGGTGACACCATACAGAGTTCCCGGATGTGGTGTTTATGGACTTCCATCTTGGCGTTATTGGGGGCAGGTGGGGGTGTGAGGCTTTTTCTGAGGGGGCCAGACTCAAGTTGGCAGAGGGAGTAGTCCCAGGCTCTGCCGGACATTAAGTTGACGTCCCTGATGGGGGAGGGAAGGGGTCTTCCAACCCCAAGTAAGGGGAGGCCTGAGTCCTTAAGTGGCCCCTGCTGTGGGCCATTAGTGACCGCAGACAAAGTTTCCGGATATAGTGTATCCGGACTTCCATCTTGGGAGTTACAGAGATGAGGCTTTTTCTGAGCAGGCTTGACTCAGGTCTGCAGAGGCACGAGTCTCAAGCTCTGCCAGGTATTAAGTTGAAGTCCTTGAGGGAGGAGTGGCGGGTCTTCCAACCCCAGGTAGCAGAAGGCCTCGGCCTCCATGTGGCCCCTTCTGTCATCCCGTCCCTTGGTGACTGAAGACAAGCTTTCCGGATGTAGTATATCCGGACTTCCATCTTGGGACGGCAGGGGGGGGGGGCCCGAGACATTTTCTGAGAGGGCTCTGCTCATGTCAGCAGAGAGAGGAGCCTCAGGCCCTGCCAGGTATTAAGCTGAAATCCCTGAGGGAAGAGTGAGGGGACTTTCAACACCAGGCAGCGGAGGGCCTCAGCCCACACGCAACCCCTGCTGTAGTCTCTTGGTGACACCATACAGGGTTCCAGGATGTGGTGTTTACGGAATTGTATCTTGGGATTCTTGGTGGGGTTTGTGACTTTTTCAGAGGGGGCCAGACTCAAGTTGGCAGAGGGATGAGTCCAAGCCTCTGCCGGGCATTAAGTTGACGCCCCTGAGGGAGGAGTGAGGGGTCCTCCCACTGTGGACAGTGGAGGTTCCACAGAAACCTGCCCCTCATGTCAGGACTGAAAAGCCTCAGGCAAGGGAATTAGTCATCAACCCTCTCAGCTGACTGACTTTTCTGGTGTCTTAGGGAGATGGGGGCTTTAGGCTGAGGGAGGCATCATCAGATCAGCAGAAGGGAGGCAGTGCAGGCCCTGTCAGGAGTTAATATGAATACTTTTAGGATGGCTAATGGGACCTTCCCCCACAGAGGGGGCCCTCATAAAAACCCTACCATGCCCTTCCCATCTCCCATCAACCATGGCAGGATCTGGACATTGGTACTTGCTCATTTGGAGCTTGCTTCACGGAAGTGAGGCCTTGATATGTGAGACAGACATGAATACCTTGAGGGAAGACGGAGGGTACTGCCTTGCTGCAGAACAGATGGGCTCCATCCCCTGCTGTTAACCCTGGGAAATTCCATGCAAGGGTACAGGATGTGACCTCTTTAATGTCAGCTTGCTTAGCAGAAGGAGTCCCAGACCTTACTAGGGGTCAATTTAAGGACTGAAGAAACCCTTTACATCAGAGCAATTGGGACACAACTCTTCTCTTCCCTTGCTGCCAACAAGTGAGGATTAGAGGCATGGTGATTGGATACGGCACTCCTTCACTTTTGTCTGGGGGGAGGTGTCTCAGGAAGGTGACAACCTTGGTCTATTGGGTGTGGCCTGAGTTCGGCAAAAGGAGGGGTCTCATGCCCTGCCAGGTGTCAAGATGAGGACTCTGAAGAGGATTAGGAGACCTACTCCATGTAGAGGAATCCCACAGAAATCAGCTTCTGCTGGTCAGCCCTGGGAGGGCACAGAGCAGGGTTGACAAATATGATTCCTCAGTTTCACTTTGAAAGTCAATGGAAGTGAGGCTTTTTCCGAGGGGTGTAACCTCAGTTTAACAGAGGAAACAGTCCCAGTCCCTACCAGGCATCAAGGAGATGACCCTGAGGGAGAACTGAAAGTACCTCCCACCATAGGGAGATGCTGCCCAGGCCCACCCTGCCTCTGCTGTCAACCTTGGGAGACCGCAAGCAATGTTGACCGGATGTGGCACTTCCTCACTTTTGCCTGGGGGTTGGTCCTTAAGGAAGTGAAGGCCTTATTCTGAGAAGATGACAGTCTGGAAGGGAGCACATTAAGTCAGCAGAGGAAGGAGTCCCAGGCTCTGCGGGGAGTCAGGATAAGGACCCTTGGTGAGGACTGAAAGTCCACTTTCCCTTCTCCCCAGAAAAGAGGGAGTCTGTCCCCTGTTCCCCACCCTGTGAACATCTGGGCTGGGGTGGGCAAATGGAATGAGCTCTAACTTCTGCCACAGCTCAACCAGGAGTTAAGGGCCTTCAGTGTTTCAGGATGGTAAAATCTTGGTTGGAGGGGGAGACTTCAGGTCAGCAGAGGGTGGGACAGGCCCTTCTAGGAGTAAAAGTGAATACCCTGAGGTAGGATTGAGTGTACCCCCCAGCATAACAAACCTTGGGCATGGGTGGCTAGATTTGGTGCCTTTTTATTTTTGTCTCATGTGTCTCAGGGAAGTGACAGCCTTGATCTGGGTCTGTGACATTAGCAGAAGGAGTAGTCCCAGGATCAGCTGACAGTCAAGGTAAGGTAAAAATATTGAGGGAGGACTAATGGTATTCAACTAACCCAGATACAAGGGGACCCACAGAAACTTCACCCTGTCCTTGCTGTCAATCCTAGGAATATCTGGGCAAGAGTGACCAGACATGGTATGCCCTCACTTCTTCCATGAGGCAGGTGCCAGTGCCTGCAGGAGGTGAGGCCTCAATCTGAGAGGGTGAGGTCAGGTCCCCAGAGGAGGTGTGACCAGACCCTGCAAGAAGTAAAGGAATACTCTGAGAGAGGACAGAGGGTATTCCCCATCCCAGAACAGGTGGGATCCAGCCTTTGTTGTCAGCCTGGGAGACTCCAGGTAGGGGTGGCTGGATGTGATCTCTCTTCCCTTTGTCTTAAGAGTCTCAGAGAGGTGAGGGGCTTGGATTGACCACGAAGGCAGGTCAATTGAGGGAGCCGAACAGAACAAGGAATCCTCTGGGCTACCAGCAGTCAAAGTAAGGACCTTCGGTGATAACAAAAGGTAACTCCCAATTAAGAGAAAAGAGATCCCACAGTCTGGCTGTCTCTTTTTCTCAGCCTTGGGAGGACCCAGGCAGGATTGGTGGGATGTGGTGTGCCCTCACTTTCTCCCACAGGGGAGCAGGTGCCTCAGAGAAGTGAGGTCTTGGTCTGATGGGACAATGTCAGGTTGCAGCTCAGGCTATTCAGAGAGTAAAGATGGATTCTATGAGGGAGGACTTAGGGAATCCCCTATGGCAGGATCGATGGAGTTCAGCCCCTCTGTCAGCTCTGGAATGCCCAGGCAGGGGTGGCCAGGTGTTGTGCCTTCTCACTTTTGTCTGGGTTCTTAGGAGGTTAGGGCCTTGGTCTGAAAGGGTGACAGTCTGAAGGGAAGCCACATTAGGTCAGCATAAGGAGGAGTTCCAGACTGCCAGGATTTAAGGTAAGGACCCTGAGTGAGGACTGAGGGCACATAGCTGCTTCCTAGGACTTAAGGCAGACTCAGCCCTACCTTGCCCTTGTTTTCAACTCTTGGAGGCCCTGGAGCATAGAGGCCAGAAGTGATGCACTCTTACTTCAATCTTGTTAGTCTCAGGGAAGTGAATGCTTGTTCTGAGGTGAGTAGACCCAGGAAAGCAGAGGGAAGAGTCCCAGGCCCTGCCAGGCATCAAGATGACAAATGAGGGTACCTTTCACCTGGAATAAATGGGATCCCTACAGAGTTTGGCCAGCCCTTGCTGTCACACTATGGAGGCCCTGTGAAGGCATGGTTGGAGGTGGTGCTCTCTCACTTCCTCCTTTTGATCTCAGGAATGTGAGATCTTATTCTGAGAATTTCTCTCAAGCCAGCAGAAGAGTAGAGTCTAGACCTTTCTAGGGGAAAGATGAGGGCCTTAGTGAGCACGGAGAGAGACCATCCATCCTAGAAGTGTGAGGACCTTATAGAATCTGCCTGCCACCCCCATGATCCCTAGGGAGCACAGAACTGTGCTTGCAGTTAGCCTGATAGGACCTCTGAATACCTATAGCCTGATAGGACCTCTGAATACCTCTTACAGGGGCTTTGGGAACTGGGGGTGAGGGGCTTGGTTTGAGTTGCATGCCCTCAGGTCACAGAAGAGAGGAGTCCCAAAGTGAGGCATATACTTTGAATATGTACCAAGGGCTCTGGCTCCCAGAACAGAAGAAACCCCACAGCACCCAACCCCACTCACCCTACTGTCAATCCTGGAGTCTCAAGTTTTTCTGACTGGCTGCACCTTAAGAGCTTTCTTACGTCTTCCTACCATTTCCTATAGGACAGTCAGTCTAGTAAAACAGAAGACTTGTGAGTCCTTAGAGCTCAGCAAAACACCTACAAGTCAGCCTTTGTTAGAGCCATTATGGGTGAATTTCTCAGCTGAGGCCACTCACACTGTCTCTCTCTCCCCAGGTCTGTGGGATCTCATCACCCACACTCTTGCTCACACTACTACCTGCTGTTCCTGACAAAGGTCATCATGCCTCACTTTCCAAAGCGCCCACGCCTCTCCTTTGAGCAAGGCTTTCAGGCCCCAATTGAGGCACAGGAGTTGGTGGATGTACAGGGTCCGACATCTGAGGAGGAGGAGGAGACCTCCTCCATTTCCTCTTACTCTTTCAACTACTTTCCCTCCTCCTCCCCTTCCCCCTCCCCCTCTCCTTCCCCCCCCTCTTCTCCCTTCCCCTCAACCCCCTCCTTCTCCTCCTCCTCCTCTTCCCCTCCCTACTGCTCCTCCTCCTCCTCCTCCTCCTCTCCTCTGATTCTGGGAACTCTAGAGGAAGAGATGCCTACTCCTGGGATGCTGAGTCCTCCCCAGAGTGCTCAGAGCTCCTATTTCTCCTCCGCTTCATGGAGTACATCAGATGAAGAGTCCAGCAGCCAAGAAGAGGAGGAGAGTTCAAGCGTGTTGCAGTCCTCAACAGATGCTGGATCCTTGCTCAAAGACCCACTAGAAGAAAAGGTGACTGATTTGGTGCGTTCCCTGATGCTCAAGTATCGACTGAAGGATTCCATCACAAAAGTGGAAATGCTCGAGGTTGTTACCCAAAATTACAAAAATGAATTCCCTGTGATCTTCAATAAAGCATCTAAGTGCTTACAGTTGATCTTTGGCATTGATGTGAAGGAAGTGGACCCCACCGGCCACTCCTATGTCCTTGCCAACTCACTAGATCTCACCTATAATGAGGTGCTGGGTGACAACCAGAGCATGCCTACAAATGGTCTCCTGATAACTATCCTGGGTATGATATTCATAGAGGGCAACTGTGCCTCTGAAGAAAGCATCTGGGAATTCCTGAATATGATGGGATTGTATGCTGGGAATGAGCATTTCATTTATGGGGATCCCAGGAAGCTCCTTACGGTAGATTGGGTACAGGAAAATTACCTGGAATATAGGCAGGTGCCCCACAGTGATCCTCCAGACTATGAATTTCTGTGGGGTCCAAGAGCCCATGCAGAAACCAGCAAGATGAAAGTTCTAGAATTTTTGGCAAAGGTCAAAGGGTCTGACCCCAGTACCTTCTCAGGATGGTATGAGGAGGCTTTGAGAGATGAGGAAGAGAGAGCCAGGTCCAGGATAGACCCCATGGACAGGGGTGCTGCCATATTCATTGCACAGCATTAGTAAGCAGCTTCACCTGCCCCAAGTGAAGAATGAGGCACATTCTTCACTCTGTGTTTAAAGAGGGCAGTGAAGGCTCTAAGTAGGGAGAGCCAGAGTTAGGCTGGGGAGAACAGAGTGTACAACAACTTTGTGTTCTTTTTCTATGTAGGTGGCACCGAGGTTTATCTTTCGATATTTTTCAAATGCTATTCCTTTTAATAGAAGATTTATTACCTTTAGAATCTTGAGTATATTGAGGCCACTTGTGGTGGCTCACACCTGTAATCCCAGCATTTTGGGAGGCTGAGGCAAGAGGATTGCTTGAGGCCAGGAATTCAGGAATCTAAGCTTATGAACAACATTGGTCACATATTTATTGATGTTTATCAGCTTTACACAAAATATAGAGAAAATGTATTATGCTTAATTTGGTACTTTAACCCTTGAATTCCTTTAACTCTTTTAGTTTATTATGTAAAATTAAATGATAAATACCTAAATTTGTTTGGCTTATTCAAGAAAGTAGGAGAAATGTTAATAATAAATATTAATTAAACCTTCTGCTCACTAATTCTTTTATTCACCAAATGGTAATTGGGTATTTTCTCTTTGGAAGGCATTGCAGGGATGCTTGGATAAGCAAGACACACCCCTACCTATAGAATGGTAGAGTCCAGGAACAGCAGTCATATCAGCAAGCTGGTGAGATGTCCTTTAAGACCAAAAGAACAAGTGAAAAGAATGAATGAGCAAGGAAGTGGGACTCTAGATGTGAGCTGTCAAGTGTAAATGCCCTGAGCCAAAGCAGTATGGGGTTTCGGGAAACTGCAATTCCTGGTGTGGGAATTAATTTTAAGTTAAGTTGTGGGTGGTGGCAGGGGGCCAGACTCTCAGGAAGTGCATCTTATAGATGAAAGAAAAGCCTGAAACATAAAACTGCTTAGTAGTTACATTTAGGTTGTGGACAAACCAGAGGGAAATCTCTGCCTGGAGCAGGTATGGAAGGTGTCCTGAACTCTTGTCCCAGTGCAGCTGAACACTGCATGACCTAGGTGTTCCATACACATCATCTGTAAGAATTTCCTGAGAAGTAGAGTGGTAGTGCCTAGAAGCTACTAGGCTAGCATTCTTTTTCCTTGGTGAGATCCAGAGCCCACTCCATTAAAGTGACATTAAAGGTAGATTATCTTGACTATAATTTGGCCAAATCTAAGCAAGGTCTAGGATTTGGTGACAGTGAAATGAATTAAAATTGTTTCAAACGGATGATTAGCTGGGAGGAAAGGAAGGAGTTGGTCTTTGACAAATTTAAATTCTAGGAGCTTTGAGTTATGTCAACTGGGAGAACTAACCTACACCCAAATTAATATATCCTCTAAGAGGGAAAATTTAATGAGTTTCATTTGTGAAACTGTATTTTTGGCTGACTTGATATTCTGTCTCCTATTCAGCTGCATATTTTCTGAGATGTCCTGGATAGATAAAAACAACAAAATCCTAGGGAAGAGGGTGGTAGGGTCTAGAGTCAAAATAATGTTCAAAATAACTGTCATTCCTTAAAGTTTCAATATGATCCAGGCACCGTGTCAGGTGCTTTATTCACATTAAGTACATTCCAGCAGTCATACAAGACAGGGCTTATCAAATCCATCTTATATATGAACAATCTGAGGCTCATAGAGCTTGGTAATTTCCCCAAGATCATATGGCTAGTAAGTGAAAGGACTGGGACTTGACCCCTGGTCTGAGTTCATGTAGAGTCCACATTGGTACCACTCCTCCCAGCCTTCTGTTTCTTAACTCATTTCTCTTCCCACTTCTCCATAATGTCTCTTGGGTGACAAAAAGAAGGACCCTGTGCTAAGGTACTAAAAACAGGCATAAAGAAGGAAGGGTAAATGAGAATAAAACATGTGATGATTGTCTGAGCTCTATTTAACCTAGTTTCCTCATGCCTGGAGCTCCATGATACCTCAATAGCTGAGTCAGTCCCGGTGATGGCATTTTAGTTCCATCCTAGCACTTTCCCACATTACAGCAGCCTTCCCTTGGTGTTACCCATTGTGCCCTCCTGTCCAACTCTGGAACCTGGCCTGATGATCAGCTTGTTACTGTGGCCTCCTCTGAGGGCTGTGCCCTGCTCACAGTGGAACAACCCAGATTCACCTGACCTCTCCTTGACATAGGGTATTTCTACTTCTGGCAGACATCCCCTGATTGTCTCATCCCTCAATCTGGAACCCCTCTGCTATGGTTTGAATGATGGTGTCACCTCCAAAATTCATGCTGAAACTTAATCTGCAATGTAGCAATATTAAGAGGTGTGGAATTTAGGAGATGATTAAGTCATGAGGGCTTCACCCTCATAAATGGGATTAGCACCCTTACAAAAGGGCTGGAGATTGAAGGAAGAGCTCTCTTGATTTTCTGTCCCTTCTACCTTGCTAGGACACCTGCTTCTCTCTGGAGGATGCAGCAGAAAGGTGTCATCTTGGAAGCAGCAGCCCTTACCATACACCAATCCTGATGGCACCTTGATCTTGGACTTTCCAGGCTCCAGAACCATGGGAAAAAGTTTCTATTGTTTACAAATTACCAGTCTATGTTATTAATATTTTGTTATGGTAGCACAAACAGACTAAGGTACCCTCTAATAGCAGCAGCTCCTTTAACTTAAAAGTTCAGTTTGGACTATTGTTTAGAGTAATCTGTAGTGTGTTGAATGGTGACCCCCTAAAGATATGTTCAAGTCCTAATTTTCATTACCTGTGAATGTGGCCTTACTCAGAAATAGAGTTTTGCAGATGTCATTGCATTAAGCATCTTTAGAAGAGATCATCTTGAATTTAGGGTTGGCCCTAAATCTCATGACTGGTATAAGAGAAAGGAGAGGGAGATTAGACACACACAGAGGCACAGAAAAATGGAATGTGAAGAATTCCACAAAGATTGGCAGAGATTGGGGTGATGCATCTACAGAGGAATTTAAAGGATTGCTAGTAACTACCAGAAGCTAGGGCAGAGGCATGGAATGGATTCTCCCTCAAAGTTTCCAGAAGAAACCAATCTGCTAACACCTTAATTTTGGTCTGTTGGCCACTAGAACTATTATAAAATACATTCAGTTATTTTAAGCCACCCAGTTTGTAGTAATTTGATATGGCAGCCCTAGGAAACTAATACATGACCATCTCCCCCAGGTATATTTAATGCATACTTACAGCATTTTCCAAATGAGCTTGTAAATAGAATTTGATTTGGCACATAATCTACTGTTTATCGGGATATAACCCTGAAATTAGATAGATGGATTTTAACATCATCTTGATATTTGCAGTAGAATTTTAATGGGATGTATTTTTTTGAAATTGGCCACGGAACAAATACACAGATAATGAGCTTACCCATGTGGTTAAAAAACAAAGCCTCTCTCATACATGGTATGTGAAGAAAGACCATAAAAATCTGTGTAAGAAAACACCTACAGAGATTTAATTCTTAAAATCCATGAGTCCTTCAAGGAGGTAGGCAATGGTCCCTTAGAAGACATGGTAGTTCTGATTAAAAAAGAAAAAAAAAAACATATTCATCATTGTAGACTGCATGTTTATGTCCCCTTCACTCCAATTCATATGTTAAAACTCTAAACTCCAATAGAATGGTGTGGTATTAGGAGGTAGGGCCTTTCGGAGGTGGTTAGATTTGGATGTGGTCATGATGGTGGAGCCCTCGTGATGGGATTAATGTCCTTGTAAGAGAGAAAGAGACCAGAGCACTCTCATATGCACGTGCATGTGCACTCTCTCTCCCCATGCCCCTCACATGAGAATGCAATGAGAAGACAGCTATTGACAAACCAGGAAGATAGCCTTCACCAGGCACCAAATCTGTGGGCACCCTGATCTTGGACTTCCCAGCCTCCAGAACTGTGAAAATAAATTTTTGGTTTTTAAGCCATTCAGTCAATGGTATTTTGTTATAGCTGCCCAAGCTATGACAACCATCCTTCCACTGCCCCTTGTCTGTTTACCTGACCTACAGGAAAATCCTAGTTTTCAGTGTGCCAAAAATCACCTGTACAGATGTTCAGAATGTTTGGTCATTTGGAGGGGTAGCAGAGCCTTATAAGTTAAGATTTTGACCATGTATCCTAAAGAAGGAGAAAATTCCCAGCCTGTCAAGTTATAGAGGTTATTCCAAAGGGCAGTGTAGAAAAGTTCTATTGGGTGAAGAAAAGTGAATTCTCTCTGCTAATATTTACAGTATCCTATGAAAAGTAGATGTGATCTTGTATATAAAAGCAACTATCACATATAGTAGGCTCTTTGAAAAGTTGATGAATTTCAAGATAAATTTGTTCTTGTCAGAAAACTCTTCCAAGAAATTAAGAGGGTTGTTGTCATAACACATTATATATATATACATATTTTTTTTTTTACTGAGTACCTACTATGTGGCATCTTACGGGAGAGATTGGATGTGCTCATCCACATGTTTTCCTCTCCTTCCTGGACTGTTCATTCACCTGTAGTGAGGGAGGCAGGAGCCAGTGCACCATTCCCATGCTTTTTCTATTCAGCAGCAAACATGGCAGCTGCATGTTGAGATGGTGGAGCTATGACATGGAAGTAGCCTGGATCCCCTGGTGTCCAGAATGCAGAAAGTCTCTGTCAACTCACATCAGAATTTATGTGCCCCTAAAATAAAATTTGCTGTGTTAAGCCATTCAAATTTCAGGTTTTGTCTGTTGCATCAGCTAGCAGTTACTTGAACTGATTAATACACAGCTTCTATTTTCGTTTTTAGGCTTATTTAAATATTACGTTTTACTTACGAAGGCAGTAGTTCATATATTCCTGTTGCAAAAAAATTATAAAAAATACATATCAGTCATCACTCTCCCCTTTACAAAATTCTTCCAAAATTCAGCCCCCTTCTAAGCGGTAACCATAATTAACAGTCTGGTGTGTATTATTTTAAAGATTATGCTAGGTTTTTCTTTGATGTATGTATTATAAAAGCATACTTTCCCTCCCTCCCTCCTTCCTTCCTTCCTTCCTTCCTTCCTTCCTTCCTTCCTTCCTTCCTTCCTTCCTTCCTTCCTTCCTTCCTCTTCCTTCCTTCCTTCCTTCCTTCCTTCCTTCCTTCCTTCCTTCCTTCCTTCCTTCCTTCTTCCAGCAAATACTTATTCAACATATGATGAATTAAGAATACCAAGTAAACAAAGCAAAAGAAATGAGAAGGCACTTAATTCAGTCTGTGGGTGAGAGAAGATGAGGAGGAAACAGATTCTAGAGAATTTTAGAGACATTCTGTGAAATGGTGATGGACAGTGTATCATGAATCTGAATTCTGAAGGTTTCTGACTAGGTAGAAGCGGTTCCTCTTAGCTGAGATTGAGGATAAAGAAAGAAGTGTTGGTGGTGACTTGAGTTAGGAGTAGAGATGAGGAAAGGAGTGATGAAAAAGGTCAGTGTGGGTCATATAGATGATGAAGTTATGTAGGCTGTCTA